AGGTAATAACTGATTATAATAACCTTAATGATGTTTTTTCTTCCCTGGTACTTTCCAGTTGACCCTCGTATCTCTGGAATAATGATGGCCAAGGCTTGGCACAGCATTCTAGCAAGGCTTTATTGCATCTGAGCAGGGTGGGAAGTTTGTGTGAATTTACTATTTGACCTGCCTGAATTTCTCGACTCATAGGCAGCTTTTATAGTGTGTTAGAATTCCAAGCCCTGTGTTTTGCAATTCTGCTGCCTGAACTGTTATTTTGAAACCCGTTTTTCTATGCTCTCATTCCTACCTGTCATATAGAATAATGGTGTGTGTGTGTATACTGTGCAATATCCTCAGTGCTCCATCCTGTTTAGGTCATGCCCCCATGCTATGTGGTGAACAATTTTTGATTCCCATTTTTTCCCCTTTTTTTTTAAGCTGACAGGAGTTACACATTATTTTAATACTTTTCCTCACTGACTTAGACAATGAAACACAAATGCATTTTGATAGTTTAAAGAAAACTTTTGAAGAATGTTGCCTGGTTCCCCTGTGTGGTTTAGTAGGAGGTTACTGATAATTGTGTTCTTCCATTATGGTAACATTTTACAGTAGGCTAATTTAACCCTAATTTCTTATGAAAATGACACAAGCCAGATTAAGAAATCTTGACAAAGTAGATGATATCTACTGCTAATTGCCATCTCTTGGATTGGAGACCTTACCATTAGAAATGAGCCATTGACTTTTAAGACGTCACTGGGTGGGCTCAGGGCAGAAATCTGTACCTCTATCAGGATGCTCAGGAGAAATTTTCTGTGCTTACCAACAAAGCCCAAGAAGTGCCTTCCCTGCCAACATTCCAGTTTGTCTGAAGTTTTGGATGAGAACCTTTGGATGAAACAGCTTTCTGGCAATTCTTCTCTTGCTGAAAGAACAAGACAAAAAGCGATGAGAGAACAGAGCTACTCTCTATTACAACTTCAAGCCTTATATACAGGGATATGCACAGAGGAATTAGGATTCTGGGTGTATATGAAATAGTCTCCCAAGGGAAACAGGCATGTCATGCAGCTTGAGAGATTGTACAGCTTGAAAATAGTAGAAAACATGATATGGAATCGTATGCTAGGAGATAAGATGCTTTTTATTCCCATCTGTGCTTCAGGGGTTGAATTGGCAGCAAATTCGAAAGCCTTTACTAGGCAACAGAAAAGATCAAGAAATATAGTATATGCATAGCAGGGCTTTTGGCAGAACCAAGTGCATGTCCTAACTGGATAATGGAAGCAGGATCTTGATGAACAGCAGGCACTTTCCAGATGTCTTGTGTTTGTTTTTTTTTTTAAGATCTCATGCTATGTCTGGTTTTGCAGAGTCTTTATGGACAATAGATTTTTGACCTATAGTTAAAATGTCTTTCTCCAAGAAAAGCCCCAACCACTATTATTTTTCTGGCATCTATTCTTGTGTAACATATGGATGTGTCCCTCTGCGGAGGTTGTGTTGTCTGTCTCAGCTGCTGTTCCACATTGATAAAAATACTGGTTCTCTTCTCACTTGTATATATTAACAGCTTGGGTGTAAGTGAACATATATGCCACAGGTTCTGGAGACTTATGATCTCCAAGGGGGAAAAAATACCTCTGTTTATTATGGTGTCTCTCATGTGGTTCCCTTGTGCAGCTGACAAAGGGGAAATTAGCAGATGGTGTAAAACTTCTCTAGTTATTAGCAGGCAGCACTATCGAGTCTATATGTTTTTCCTTACTGCAGCTAAGTCACTTCAGAAGTTTTGTAACCTTTCTCTTTATCTGGTGCATTTGTTTTTTGATAATCTGTTTTTTCTTCTACTTTGTTTCCTGACAGAAATATGCCCATTCTGACATTAACAAACCCCAAATTTACCAGCCAAACAGAATCAACCAGCCAATCCCCAGAGGCAGAGCAGAGGAGAAAGGAAAAATCATTACATCTTTCTGAAGTAATGTCCTCTGGCTGCTTAACCCTATCAATGCAGGCTCGCTGAGCTGCTCCCTGGGGAGTGTTCTGTGATGCTGAGTGTTAACAGAAGGAGTTGCACACCAAGATGTCTTGCCCATGTTTTTCCCTTTTTTTTTTTGTTGATCTTTTCTTGTGTGTGTGTATACATATTTATATATAGGGATACAATGTATATTCATCCCCATAGATATTGGGAACAGGATTTGAGCTGGTGAAACACTCAATATTTTCCCTTTACTGAAGTGTAGCATCTCCTCTCTTCTGTTTACTCACAGTCCATAAAGATGCAGTTGTTTTGAAAATATACATGTATTGTCCTCCTATTTTGAAAGGAACATGTTTAAAATGGGAGAATAGATTTTACAGTGCATATAGGAGTTCTTTAAAAAGTAAATTTTTGTATTACTAACCTGTCAACAAGGTGCAACCCCAAAGATAACTGAGCAGTGATCATCAGTAGATCTGGGGGTGATAGAAAAATTTCCTGCTAATACTCCTCCAATACTGCTGTCTTTGGAGAATATTTCACCTTACAAAATTATAATTTAATAATAAAATACATTGTTTATGTTTTTCCACTGTTTACATATTAGTAGGTAGGCAGTTAAATATTAACTAAAGGTCAAAGAAGCTAAAGAGTGTGTAGCATGGGAGGGTTTCAAGAAGCTAGGCAGAAATTCATAAGGGAATTGTATCTGGGACTCAAAATTCAATATACTTTGCTGCTGTTTGTAGAAAGTGATAAGATTTATACCTGGATTTTGACTTTATGCAAACTTCAGTATCCTAATGGCTGGAGTAGCTGTCTTTCACAAGGACTTTGAATGTGCACATTGAAGCCAAGCAACAGCCTGAGAGTGGAGTCTTCCCTACTCATTATGAGCTGTGTCAGAAGAACAAGACATCCAGGGAGATGAGATGAGATGCTGGCAGGGTAACTGTGGTTTGCTACAAGGCAATGTTGCAGCCATTATTTTGTTGAACTGCAGTCTCAGCTGTAACTCAGTCTAGAAGATCTGTGCAATCCTGTGGTGTATCTGCTGCATTTCCTTTTCTATACCATTTAGTTGATGTCAGGTTGAGAAAAATCACTTGTAGTGGAGTCTGTAAGTTCTGCATATCAAAGAGTGGATGTGTTTTGTCGGTGGGTTTTGGTTTTCCACACGCTGACAATGCTGCCACCAGCTCAGCAGAGCGGGCTCAGGGCCTTTGCTGTCACAGCTGTGCTGTACAATGTTGTGCCACTTGCTGTGTTCAACAGGGCACCTTTGTTATGAGCACTCTGTGTTGTGCTTTTGAGATTCATCTTTTAGAGCAGAAAAAAAAGACAAAACCATAAAAACAAACTCATAAATCACATTCAGTAAAAGCCAGAGCAGTTTGCTCTGCATAGGCAGACTTGTGCAGAGTCCTGTGCATCATAGCACACACAGGCTGTCTCTGCCTTAATGAATCCTGTCAACTTGCTCTCTATCATCCTTAGTGTTATTCCCCAAGCAGTAATGGCAAAATACATTACAGCCCTAAAGGACACTTTTCATCCCTAAACTTTAGACTGTCTCTTCTGTAGAATGTCACATTCTTTAGTATTTAATTTTCAAAAGTGATAAAGTAAATTAGAGATATAGATCCCATCTTCAAAACTGAAATAAGGCCCCTAAAGTATAGTGAGGCAGTTAGGTGGATTGTCCAAGTCAGTGTTACCCTTCAATGGTGTTGCAGACACAAATGACTTAGGGAGTCAAGATCCAAAGCTCAAGTGGTGTAAGATGTGTCTGTGCATGCAGGTGTGCACAAATTGGGGTTGCTCCCCAAAACTGCAACTGTGGCATGAAAGGAAAGAGCCCAGGTGAGGTGCTGGGTGTGAGGGGATGCTCAAGAAGGCTGCAGGAGTTCAGTGGAGAGCATCAGTTGTGACAATACCACACAGTTCTCTGACCTCTTCAAAGGGACAGTGGAAAGTAGCAGCCAACTTGCAAAGCCAGTAAGTACTCAGGCCACAGTAGTCCAGTCTATTTTTATGTGTTTCAGCTGCATGATTTTTTCACTCCTGGTATAAGAGGGAATCAACAGGCTGCCTCTGTGCTCAGCAGCCACTGCAGTCTCCTGCAGGATGTGTATGAAAAACTCCTGCTGAATTGTAACTCTGCCTTAAAAAGAGGAAGAAAAGCAGCATCCTTGAGGTCTCTTACCCCTGTAAGGATAAAGCAAAGCCTAGCTTCTCTTCACCTATGGCAGAAAAAAAAGCACAATTAATCATAGGATCATAAAATGGTTTGGAATGGAAAGGGCCTTAAAGATCATCTAGTTCCAAATCCCTGTCCAAGTTTTTGCAATGTTTCTGTTGCTTAATGAAATAATAAGTAGCAGGTAAAGCACTCTTTCCTCTGGGGATCAATTACTTCAAGGAATAAATTCGCTGAAATTGGCCCAAGTCTCTAATAACAGCCACAGTGATCAAAATGTCAGTGTAAGCCCAAATCCCAGAGGGTGAACTTGAGGCCAGCTGCTGCATGCAGTGAAAAGAATGTGCTTCTGCTCAGGGAGTGTCAGTGGCTCCACTGACACACCTGCTGCTAGGGAGCACTTGTGTCCTATCAGATAATGCTGCCAATGGCCACTGAAAGACTTGGGATTATTACTGGCTTTCAGTTCTTGTTTGTAGCTCAACCTCAGGTTAAACAGCAGCAACACTACCTGACATTCTCTCTTCATTTGAAACCATCACTTTTGATACCATATTGTTCTCCCAGCATTATTTAGTGTGAGGGATGCACACAAGGCTTGGTGTGCAGGTTCAGAAGATGACCCCTGCTAGCACATCAACCCCTATTAACAAGCAACAATGCCTCTTACCATGTGAATGCAGGAGGAATTGCCAAGGCAGCTAGAATTGACTTAAATAGACAGGATGCAGCTGTGTGTAGCAGTGTATTACAGAATGCATAGACGAAAACTGAATTCTAGCTCTGAATTCTAGCTTTACTAACAAAAAATAAAACCTTTCACAGAATGATTGCTTGGGGATGAAAAATTATCTTCAAGTTCCCTGCAGAGAAAAAGAGGTACATGCATCTTCATGCATCCACGAAGGACCTGACTTAGTACAGCAGTGCTTCATGAACTGAGGTACAAATTGCATCCAATTCTTTTCTGATATGTGAAATGGGAGCAGCACTAGTAGATGGGGGTTCTGAACTAAGCCTCTGGATAGACTGAATCCAAAGCTTCCCCTTGTCTGAATGGGTCCCTTAGCTCTCAAGGTGAAAAGTGAAATTTAAGGGAGAACACTATGCTGTTGAACAGCACCATTATCTTGTTAGAAGAGGGGCTGTGGGATGAGAAGGGCCTATTCAGGGAGCATGGCCTGTTCAGGATTGTTTCTTTGGCAGATTCTGACATAGGAAGAATGCCCAAAACTAGGATCAGGTTGTCACAAAGGGCTGTCACTGGGGACAAAGATATCTCTCATGCTGTGCTAACATGATAGGGCCTGCACAGCTGAATGAAGTGTGTCAGTTTCTTCATGGTGCATCTTCTGCAGAAATGCTTGCTGCATCCCTCATTGCACTGACAGCAGCTTTTGTGCAGATATGGTGTTTAACCAGTACCCTAATTTGGTCCTGGCTTTCATTAGTCCCTGGACAGGGAGGAAGGGCCTGGTTGGCAGGTATGAGGATTCACCCAGCTTGCAGGCTGAGCAAAATCTGAGCCTGGAAATGTCTAAAGCATGAAGCATGAATTCTAAGATTGTTTTACACACACTTTTCAAAATAGAGCTGTATGACTTTCCCACTGATAAAAACAACAATGTTCACTTTTTGGTAATGTGGTGCTCCTCCTATGATCACATTTTTAGCAGCAGATGATATATGAGATTATATAGTTTAATACAATAATATTGCCTATTTATAATTTTTTTAGCAAAGTAAAATTATCTATGTCAATTAGAAAGATGATATAATTACAGTGAAGACTATATTTATCATTGGAAGTCCTCCATGTATTCAAGTATAGAGACCAGGATTAAATGAAGTGCTCAAGATTGTGTGCAAAAGGGATTTGTGGACTAGGATTATTTATTTAGTACCCAAGATTCAATAACCATTCTATAAGAACAGACCAAAGCATGAGTCTTTTCCCAGATCTATTAAAATCTAAAATTGTGAGTTGTGGAGACACCTTGTAGTGTGAACTCTCATGAGACCTGATCCTCTATTTATATAAGCCATGTCATCTTCAGTCTGTGTAAGCTAAGGACCATACTCTGAAGATTTAGTCATGAGAACATATGGTTCCAGGGTAAAGGGCTCTAAACCAGAAGCATTTGGCTTTCAGACTCCACAGCTCTGTGCAGGAGCACCATCCTCTCTTGGCAGGGCTGTTTGCAGTCACTGCATCTGTGTTAGAATCAAAGAGCCATTATAGAAGAAATGGGGGTGGGAGCCCAGTGCCATTCTTGCTAGTGGTGTCAAAAGGGTCAGGCTGTCAGAAGAGAAAAAAAACATGTGAAAACACAAAATCACATTCCAGTGGGTTTTCACTGGAAGTTTTCATATACCTGAAAGAGCAAAAGCTATGCTGAGGCGCTTCTACTAGCAAAGCAGTTGGCCCTTTTGCCATCTGTGATGCCAGTCAGGAATTTGCTGCTGGAAACAACACGTGCATAGATGGAGCTGTAACAGAAGCTGTGTCTGCTGCAGGTTAGGCTTGTGTTCCCCTGGGCTCCCCAGGCTTTCTGGTGGGTTCCAAGGCCACCGGAAAAAATTCTTTTTTCTGGCACTGACCAAACTCTGTATGTCTCTCCTAAGCCCTCTGGCAGAAAGGAGTTGTTTCTGTAGTTGTACTTGAGGCAGGGAAATGCTCCTGTAACAAAAAAATGGGGCTTTTATGAACTATTTCCTGGCACCCATAATGGTGTATATTGAAAATGAGATTTTTCTGCTGTATAAGAAGGCTAATTCTGGAGACTTTTGTATTGATGTTTTCCCTCTGATAATGTGCCATGCTTCCAAAGACTCATAAATTGTCTAAAGAATTTGCACCAGGTCGTGCAGTCAGTGGATTCTGAAGCTGGATTTCCCGACTCCCTGTTTCTTCTTCTGAAATTTATTCGCTATCATTTTAGCAAAGAAAGGAGAAGAACCTACCCAAACTCTCTACCAAGGTTGTCAACTTTATGAGCCATTAGCACTACTAAAAGACTGTAAGGACTTTCTGTTCCAGCAGGCTTGGTACACAGATGTTGTGTACAGGATCTTCTCTAATTAATATATAAAATTTTTGAAGCAGTATACATCAGTGCTTCATTTGCTCTGGCTGAGTAGTTGCAGTGCTTGGATGTGTCTGAAGCTCATTGCAAAACTCCCATGCATTCATGAGGATCAGCCTCTGCCCTTGGGCATGCTTACCTTGTTGTTGTTTTTCCTCAAAACTTTAATTAACTGATCAAGTGGCACAAGGTGTGCGTGGTGCCTGGAGGCTTATGGGACACAGGAAGTTTTGCTAGGCTGGCAATCCCTGTGTATCTTGTATTGCATATAGCAGGCAGTCATAGAGTCACAAAATGGTTTGGCCTGGAAGGAGCTTCAGACATCCCCCAGCTTCTCCATAATGCAGATTACATGCAGTTGATTTCCAAAGAACCCCTCATTCACATTGGCAAAGGCAAAACATCCTTTGTGCTGATATGAGCCCCACTGGCTCCAGTGAGATGCTCCAAAAGCTCAGTTTAGACTCAAAAATTGGCCCAGTGATACAAGTTTAGGAATGAGCCAGCAAGTTGGATTCACTTAGAATCAGTTTTATTGCCAGGTAAGAAATTCATAGTAATATAGTGAATACATATGTTTACAAATAAACATTCTTAAAAAACAAACAAACATTTTATTGTAGGAAGTATTATTGGTATCATAAACTCTGTAGTTAACAAGTATTAACACGGGTTTACTTACAGAACATACAGTTACTAAAATATTTCCACATAAAATATGCTCAAGTTACACGAAACCTGTGTGAATTAAGAGTGCAGCTGTAATGTGTATCTAAAGCATATGGATTAACAGCAACATTCCATAAAGGGTCAAATTAAGTCAGCCAGTTGTGAAGGCAATAAAGATTAAAGGAATAAAAGTAAGATAGTGGAGAGTCTGGGTTGTGTGCAAAGTATTTGTCTTGTGGGCTTTGTCTACTTCTGATAGTCTTAAAACATATGATCATAAAATTTAGCAGCACGCTTATGGAGAGATACCGGTGCTCTCAGGATGCAAATCAATCTTGATATAGCTAAAAAAAAATGGTATCTCCATTTAACCAGATTTCAAAATCTTAGCCCTTGCATCCTTGACTAAGCAGAAGCATTGTCAGTTGAGTACAGTAAGAAATGCCACTTCCAATTCTTCTTACAACATAACAGTTCTCACTCCTCCCTGAATACTCTTCCAGACCTAATCTCCTGAAGAATTGACAGCTGGTGAGAATGCAACTGTAGTAGGACAGCTAGTTGGGATTTAGCCAAGTGACTTGTGTTAGGGGAAGGACAGGAATCACTGAAAAACTGAATGCATTGCCTGCCACCCCATCCCAACTCTGTCTCTTTGTGGATGTGCTGAAGCCTTTACAGGCCCAGGACTGTGAGTTTGCTACCAGTGCCCAGTTCAAGTGGTTTTACTCACACAAACCAGGCATCCTGCTCATCAGAACCACAGTCAAGACCATGAGTCCAATTGTTTGTTTAGTTTAACCCCAGATCTCTGATGTTTGAGGCTGGACCAGCCTCTTCCACCACACAGCCCACCAAGAGGGAACACCACTAGAGAAAGCCAAACGATAGAGACAATATACCAGATAACATTTACTTGAACTACAGAGAACTGCCATGGCTAAAAGCAAATACAAAATGAGAGACTAGAGGGGAAAAGTTGAATTTGGGAAAATGAAGGGGCAAACTAAATAGTCCTGACTGTGCAACCACTGCATGGAGATGTAGTCCAGTTTCCTTTCAGAACAAACAGAGGAGGCTGAGCAGGGCAGAACCCTTGTCATCCTTAGCAAAACATGAGGAAATAGCTTAAAGGAACAGAGGGGTCACTTTGAAGAACAAGACTGTCATTGAACAATAGTAATACAGTAAAGGCACCACCCACGCTTAATTTCAGTCTGAAGCAGTTGAAGATAGGCAAAACATTTAGGTGAAGAAAAAATCCTGACAGTCTGCAAAGTGAGAATAGTTACCATCTGCCTGAAAACAGGAGGACTGAGAGGGAATATTCTGATGCCCTTTTTCCCCCAGCAGCTTTCTGTGTCATGTGAAGTGTCTCTTCTTATTTTTGAGGTTCCCAAAAATTTCAAATCAAACGAAGTAAACTGAAATGAAATCTTCTGCTGTTATCATCCTGCTGAATTCTCTACCAGCCAGAAAGGTCCCATATGCTCTTAATCATAACAGTCTTTATATCCTTGTGAAAGTGTCTTTGTCCCTTAATTTATATATATTTTTTGCGTTCTCTATAGGATAATGTGAAAGTACAATAGTAGATGTTAGGGATCGTACCAAGATGGTTGCTCTTGGTTTTTCAGAGGTCTAGTGATTAATAGGTTTTATACAAAATTCCTCTCTGAAATAATATATTACAGTATATTGGTCTCTCTCTCTCTTCCTCTGTCTCAAGGCAGGAACATAGTGTAAATGTTTAAGCAGACATAAAGTTTCTCTAGATTGTGCTACTTCTCATCATGGATTTTAGTTTCAAGTAAAAAAATTTAGTCACAAGGGTTTGTGTTCCATTGTGAAATACAAATGGAGTTTGTAATTCAACCTTCAGTGTGTATTGCTGAATGGTATTAACCCACTCTTCGGCCTACAGCTGGCTGGATACCGAAAGTGTCCAGGTGGAAGTTCCTTCCTTCTGTTTCCTCCTTTTTTTGTTGTTTAATTTCATTTTTGTTTTTTTTTTTTTTTTTCCTTTTGGTTGAGTGTTTGTGTTGTGTATACATTTGCGTGTGGTTTTTAAAGGATTTCATTAGAAAAAAAAAAAGAGAAAGAAAACAAACTCAAACAGTTACTTCTGTCTTGCTGTTGGTTATGAAGTATGGCTGTGGGCCCAGGTAGTGCTGGCTGCGGGTGGTCA